AAGTCGGTACCGCATTTGCATTGGTTGCATCGAGTTGTGAGTCACATGCATAATGATATATATTATGAGTTTATGTGAAGATGATTGAGTTTGTGAAATTGGTTATGATGTGTGAATGAGTGTGATTATATGGTTAGGATGATAAATGGTTAAAGAGATAATTCTTGAATATAGCGGAATATGGAATATATGAATGTACTATACACATATATTCAAGTATGGAGAATTTCTTTTATTTATTTCTTTTCATTATTTTAAATTATATATTTCATGATTATTGGAATTCTCACCCTTCTGTTGGAATGATGCTTGATACGGCATCGCTCAGGTACCAATGATGGTAGTGTGAGGCACAAGGATTAGCCGATGCATTTAGGCTTGTAGTCCGTTATGTTTTGGTTATTGAGTCGATGCTCTGATTGTAACACTTGGGGGTTTAGTGTCCGCACTCGAACTCTTATTTTGTGGATGGATTATACTTGTATATAATCCTTTATTTTGATCATATTTTAATGTATGTATTATGAGACTTGATAACATGTTTGGTGTATGAATCATATGGCTTAATACCTTGAATTTTATATTTTGATTCCTCCTTTGGAGATGAAGTTACTATGATTCCGTTGCGTTTGCACGAAAAAGAAAGTATATGCCATGAATGATTAAAGTGACGAATATGTCATGTCCGTCTTTCTTGAATAGGTGAATTGATGTTGTGACACTCCTTCCGTGCAATTTTATTTTCTCTGATTTTAATTATATCGTTTAATTCAGGGTTTATTAGAAGGGGTGTTACACTTTAAATCGTGCCTATTCTTGTCCATTGAGTCAAATGAAGTGGAAAAAAGACCGTAACCAACCCCCATAATTTTTCATTCGTTTCAATGATGTTAGCTCACGTTTCTTCAAACATTTACACTCCGAGTTATTACTCGATGTCGGTGCTCAAGCAAATCAAGTGGAAAGAGTTCCTTACTCCCACTTTGAGATCCATTGGACTCTTTTGTTTGCTATTGGCTCACACTCGATTTTGTTTTAGCTTCGACTTGATTTTGTTTGTTCACACCTTGTGCTTATGCTTTTCTTTAGGTTGTAACCTTTGTATGCTCCCTTTAGGATTCACTTGTTTCATTTTTGATGCAAGTTAGACATTAGGATTGTAATCCATGCATGCTAACATAGGTAGAGACTTCTCTTAGTTAATTCTCAACCTTAGGATCAACCATTATATGATAATATTAGGGATAAAACTAGATAGTTTCCCTTAGATGTTTTCTTTTTCCTTTTGCATGTTTAATACTAAAACCTTTTTCTTTGGCAAATGCATAAAACACTCTAACATTTTCAAATCCCTTTTCAAGTTAAAAAATACCAATCAATTCAAATTTTTTTCGCCTTCGGGCCTTTCTTCGAAACTCTCAAAAGGATATGTTAATTATACTATATGCAACATGACGCGTAAATCCCCAAAGGTCGGGTGGCACCATTCTAAATTTCTAGAGCATGAATGTAGTATTATCCGCCTTCGGGCATTTTTCTTTTGAAAATAACTTTTCAGGTAGAACCTGTTAATTCATTCCTATGCCAACATGTGAGTCTCCAAAGGTCGAGCAGCGGTAGAAAGCATAATTAAAATTATTCATAAAAATACAAAACAAACGGAAACTTGGGAGGCGAAGTACGACACTTTGATTCCTTAAAAGGGATAATTATACATTTAGTCGCGGGGCCCAAACGAGCAAAACTTTGTAAATATTCCTTTTTTTCCCCTGTGTTTTCTTTTGCATGCATTCCCTCTTTTCATTTTATTTCCTTAGCTCTTAAGCTTTAGATTTGAACACACCCTTTGATTAGAACAAGAAGAGTGGATCCTGTGGAGTACCACAGACGTGAGGGGTACTGATACCTTCTCCTTGCGTAATAGACTCCCTTACCCGTATCTCTCAGTAGTTTGATCATGATTTCACCCTTCTCAGGTTAACTCGATGTTTACCTTTCCCTTCCTGTGGGATAAAAAATGTTCGATGGCGACTTCATTGATTTTCTCTCGATAATTTTCGGCTGATTGGTTCACTCCGAAATGGCTTAATAATCCTTTGTGTTCTTTATTGATTTTTAAATTATTTCATAGTTGCTGTCAATTTGTTATCATCAAGTTGTACATGTTTTCCCAGACATCGTATCCAATATATGTCCCCATTAGAACAAAATTTCAATTAGCATAAGAGCAGACACCCTATTCTATTTGGGCGTGTTACAGGGTTCTAATTATGCTCAAGATGGAGAATTTCAAATGAGGAGGAGAAATTCATCAACCAAAGATTATTTATGGTGCTAAGAATCCTCCAAAGATTGTAGCCGAAGAAAATTATGAAGATTTTTAAGACCAAGTAGAATATGACTCTGAAGAAAATCTTAAGTTTGCTAAGATCTTGAGAAAGGTCACGAGAAGAGTGGACAAGAGATCTAGGAATAATGTCCCTACCAATGTCAAGGATAATAAGAATCACAATTCAAGAGGTGTAGCTTTCACCATAAAGCAATATGTGGTGAAAATATCAAATGGACCCAATGTCTTAAAGGCAAAGATTTTGGACATATTCAAGCTGAATGCTCAAGTTTTATAAGGAAACAAAGAAAAATATACAATTTCACTAATGATGAGATAAATGAAGAATGTGGATCTAATGAAGAAAATAGTGTTATGACTTTCACTACTCATATTAAAGACATGAAATGTGTTATAAATACTAGCGAGCCTTCCAATATGTATGTTACTCATATTCAGAAAATAGAATTCACAATGTCAGATAATAAGTCTCAACATTATGTTAAACATCATTAACCATGCATTAATTTTTCTACTTCATTCCACCTTTTAATTGTAAATTGTATGGTAGACAACCACATCATCAACATATGTATCTCTTGTGGAATAAGAAGTCTCAAAGGCATTATCAAAAAGATTGGTGTGACAAGCCTAATATTCTTGTTCATATTGCTTGTACCCCCTACAAGAATGTTGAATAACATGTTCATGACATCATGGTTGACTCTTTATATACATAAACTAAGCTATGGCACAAAAATGTTGTGCGTACGAGGATCTTTGTTATAGAGAAAGTTGTCATATGTATGTCTGATCCCAAAATTGAAAAAAGGTAAAATTTATGACGTTTGTCAAGTTGGGAAGCAAACCAAGATGTCATATAAGTTGCTTCAACATCTTACTTGTGTTTATGAATGACCACTTATGAACTTTATGAGACTCATGCAAAGAGTTTTCATTAAAGGGAAGACCGATGTCAGGCTGGAGGTCCTCTGAACATTGAACAATAAATGGTAGTTCAGAAGAAGAAGCCAAAGAAGATTAGTGATTATGGCACAATTTTTACTTATATTTCTGGAAATTGTATTTTTCAAAAACAAGACATTGTGTTTGGCAAAGTTGAAATTGATGTTATTCTTAGTGTGTTGAATTTTAGTTATAAGTTGTATGTCATGAAACATGTCCCAGACATTGTTCCCTATAATTTTCCAAAATTTGATGATATGCCCCCTGAGAATAATTTTGTGAGTGATGATGATCATGTCCGTGAAGTTTTTGTGGTTGATATTGTTGTACCTCAGTTGATGTTGTTAATAATAATAATAATAATAGAAGAAAACCTGCATAAAAAAGGAGGATCACACAGTAGAAGATGTGGAGGAAGATGTTTATTACAATTTGAATGACATATAGGTGCCTCTAAACAAGAAAAATAATGAGATTATTATTTGAAAGAATGCACAACTTTTTCCATAAGACCATGCTCAAATCAAAGAAGTTGACTTTGATGAAGATTCTACTTCCAATTTCTCATCTTGAAGCCATCAAAATGTTGCTAGGTTTGTATTATAGCATCATGTTCACACTTTATTAGATGGATGCGAAAAGTGCCTTCCTCAATAGGTACTTGAATAAATAAATAAATAAGGATGTTAGTGATTATGAAACTGATGAAGAACCTACTGTTATTATGATGAAGATATAGCTAGGTATGTTGTTAACAAAGGAAAAGAGAAGAAGAAAGTGAAAGATGTTCCTTCCAAAAACCCCATTAAGGATACTGAGATTGTGAAGGAGAAAACTCCAAGAGAAAAGCCTGTGAAAAATAAGAGAAAGATTAAAGAGAAACTGTTATGAAGAAATCCATGAAGAGAAATGTTGTTCAAACAAGTGTGCGGAACAAATAATGGAGCAGATGCCATGTACATTGTCCCCACTCACTATAAGGAGAAAGGTTGGTGGAAAGAGAATTCACGTGAATGTTCCTACTACCCCCATGGATAATATTTAATTTCATTGGATTCAGAGGTGGAAATATGTTTTCAAAAGAAGGATTTCTCATGAAAGAGATCTTAGTAATAAAGCTCTTGGTTGTAAAGAGATTATAGAGTTGCTGGAAGTTGACGGGTTAATGAAAACTATAACTGATGTGGTCCTTGCTATGAAAAACTAGTCAAGGAATTTATTATGAACATTACTGATGAGTGTAACATTGAAGGAAACAAGGAGTATAGAAAAGTGTATGATAGAGAAAAGTGTGTGAAGTTTTACCCTTCCATCATTAATGACTATTTAGGCAGAAACAAGTTTGCAGGGTTAGACAAGGTTCCTTCTATTGATAAGATTACTAAAGAGATTAATTACAGTATTAATGTATTTAAAGATGGTAATGAAGATGTCAACCAGGATGTGCCAGAAAACCAGTATGACATGTTGGTGAATGAGTTTCTAACTTAAAGGAAGAATGAGCAAGCTGCCAAGCTTGATGAACAAGATATGATACTCAATGTTGTACCTCCTCAGATGATTTTACTCGTTGACGTTCCAAAGAAAAGAGATAATAATGCTGACTTCAAGAAGAGTAAGACAACTGAAAAGGCAAGCCCCTTTTATAAAGACACTCATGTTCATGCTCATGGTAATAAGCCTATTAATTTTGTGAATAAATATAATGGGGGATAATGATGCTGATACCACTCATATTGAGAATATTGTTGATTATTCTGAAACCAACATTGATCCAAATGTTGAACCTCATGGTGAACAAAGTGGTGAACCACCTGTTGAACCTCCTACTGAACCCACTACTAAATCAAGTGATAATATACCTATCTTTGATACGTACCTAAATAATATCTTGAATGAAGACCATGGTTCTACTGAAGACTTAAAGGACGAGAACCCTAAAAAATGAAGAGCTCGAGGTTCAAGGTAAAAATAATGTGGAGGATGACGATGATGATGAAATTCCTTTTTCCAACATAATGAAGAGAATCATTGAGAATGTGACCAGAAAAAGGAAATTGCAAGTAAGGATGAAGAAGAACATTATGTTGAAGCTCTAAAGTATAATGAAATTATGGAGCTTCTTAGTGATGCTCATGTGAAAGATGTTCTAGACATTAGTCTTTCCAATGTTCATGTTATTTTTGATGATGAGATTGGTGCTTCCCCAAGTGTTCGACTTTGAGTTACATTGTGAATATTTGGAAAGATGTGGCTGACATTGTGTTACACATCTAGGCACATGTTGATGAAACTGATATGGTCTTTGATGAAACTTTTCCACCTTAACTTGTTGCTGCTACTACAATTTTATGGGGGAGACGATGATATGATGATATTCAAGTTATGGGCTACGGTCATATGTAAGCTCATGCTTATAGACTATTTTTAGTTAACATTGGTTAAAGATTTTGTGCTATAAAATCTTGATAAATAAAAATTTCTCGAAGAATGTTTGGAAGTATTGCTCTGGAATGTCTATCTTTTTTCCAAATTATGAAAAAAGGGGGACTGATGATTGTGTGCATATGATTTATTTATATGAGCTTGTCTTGATATAAATTATGTATAACAACCACCTTGCTTGATCTCTGGTTGTTTATGGTTTTTTACTACTTCTGTCACCGTTGTATGTTCTAGTATGATGTGCTACTTGTATGCTCACATCTTCGTGGTTTGCTTTCAAATTCTCCCATACCTAAGGGATTAATGGGAAAGATAGCAAATTTTTTTAATGATGTCATGAGCTGTTATCCTAGATGGAGAAGACATTTATTACTTAAAGAGTTACCCATTTTTGATGAGTTTCTTTCCCTGTTTAAACACACCACCATTATCTTAGACAAATATAAGTAAATTTGGAAGCACTCAAGTAAGGGTACTTTTCAATGGCCTCTGCTTACCTTGTCTAGAGGGAGAACTCGACTTCTTCTTTTACCTCGCTTTTGAAACATAGCGAGTACCTTCCCCTTATTTGGAGTAGCTGGGCTCCGTCGAAGATCATGGTTTTCTCCTGATAGCTTTTGCAAGACAAATTTCCTTCTAGAGATAGTTTGTTCAGAAGAGGGGTGTTTTATGACCCTACTAGGCTTTTTTGTCGCTTCCATGGTTTTTTGATTTAGGTGGTTTTTCATATTTTTGTTACTTACACTACGCCAAAAATAAGTTTTAGCAGCACATAAAAGAAAGCGCTTTTGGAAAAAAGCGCTGCTGTAGGTTTTAAAAAAAATTCGCTTAAAAAAGCGCTTTCAAAGGGTGCCTTAAGAAAGAGCTTTTCAAAAGCGCTTCTAAAGGTCACCCTTAGAAAGCGCTTTTTGGGAAGCGCTGCTAAAGCTGGCCTTTCAGAGGGTACCTTAAGAAGGCGCTTTTCAAAAGCGCTGCTAAAGGTCAGCCTTAGAAAGCGCTTTTCCAAAGCGCTGCTAAAGCTGGCCTTTAGAAAGCGCTTTTAAAAGCGCTGCTATAGGATATGCTACGAAAGCGCTTTTTGATGTAAAAGCGCTGGTATAGATGACCTTTAGAAAGCGCTTTTAAAAGCGCTTTCATAGGTAGTTTTATAATAAATATCAAAACACAAATGGAAAGCTCAAGGGTGCAAAATTGGATCAGGATATGAGTTAATAAGCCATGGGCATTGAGGCCCAACATGAAGGGTTAGGTTATAGAAACTGGTAAATGCTTCAACGTATTTTGAATCAGAGTTTACTCCCTCTCAATTTTATTCTCCCTCATATCAATCCTCTGTCGTACAACTTCGTCTCACTCGGCCTCATGCAATCTCCGGAGCCTAACTCTCTCAATCTCGCATCTCTATGTCTATCACCATCATCCATCTTGCGACGGTTCTTCCTCAAATCGTCTTCATTTTGATTCACCGTTCCTATCTATCATCTCCTCGCGACATAGACGCAAACATCCAGATGAACACAACACATCAAGAATAACATTAACAAAAAAATGAAGAAGGGATAAAAACTTACATGTCGGAGTCGCTCCGACGGTGTTTCAATCACGATGAAAACAAATCCACAGATATTTTGCTCAGGTATGCTTATAAATTCCTTATTCTTCTCTTCTTCTTCTGGAATTTTAGATGTATGTCATTGCGTTTATGTTCCTCTTCTGAAAATTTCATGTGTTTTGTGTTTCAGTTGAGTCGTGTGTTCAATTGTGAATTGTTGTTGAGATGTTGTTGAAACAGTTTGGTTGGGGTGAAGTTAAGTTTGCAGGTCTCTTGATTTTGTTGATAACATAACGGGGGTTTTAGAACGAGAATAGTTGACGAGGTCAAGGATAAATAATAAAGTTGTATGAAGGTTGTTTGAAGGAAGTTTGAGTGTTTTCAGATATGAGTGAAGTTGGAGGGAGCAAGTTGTGTGAAGTTTCATGAATAATGAGAATCAAAGAAGCAGGGGTGAGGATTGATGAAGAAAGGTAATAGTGATGGTTGTTGAGAGTTAAGAGCATGGAGGTGGTTGTCACAGTTTTGAAGAGGTATTGGAGGTTAGTGATGTTGTGTGTTGGAGCAGGTTACAAGGAGGATTTTTGTAGTGTTTTTCTGGTGTGTTCTCCTCCTTTTATCTATTATTGAGGAAGTTATTTATTGGTGAGTAATATGGGATTTGGGGGAAATGAATGATGTTTAAACAATTTGAGTGCACTGGCTTGATGCTTTTTGTTGCAGTTTCTGATTTTTTTTCCATTTTTTGTCTAAGTTTGGCACATACTTTGGATTGTTTTGCTTGGTTGTTTCATGCAGGTTTTGGCTATTGTGTAGGTCTAGTTTTGTGGACAGCAGTGTGCATGGTTATGATGCAGGTTTGGGGACTATTGTATAGGTCTGGTTTTGTGGCATGTTGGTAGTAGGGTAATTTTGCAGTGTTATGTTGGTGGTAGTAGGGACAACAACTTGTTTCATGGCTTATTTCTTGGACAGGCTTATGTTGGTGCAATTGGAGCAAGATGTTAGGAACATAAATGACAAATCTGTGGCCTTGAGTTAAGGGTCGTTCAAGAAGAGGTGTACCCAAGGATTATCATGGATTGATTCAAGAATTGATCATGAAACTTCTCTATGCACAAAGTGTGAAGTTAATGTAATTTTGTAGTTTAGGATTTTAATTGTCAAACAGATTCCATTTCGTGTCTTCCTCCCGTGTCAGCAGAGCGACAATTGGTAGGGAACCAGATTCAGTAAGAGAGCACTTAGTCGAAATATTCATGGCAACTGGCAGTACAGAAAGCTTATATCTTTGGGCGTATAATACTATTCCTACAGGGTTAGATTTTTCATTCTAAGTTCATTTTAATATTTGTAATTTTTGCGTAGAAAATTTTCTTCTAAACTGTTGTTTTAATTTATAGACGTCACTGGTTGTTGGTTGCTATCGATCCTATAAAAAAAGTGGTCTATTATCTGAATTCGGTTGGCGGTGATTGGACAAATTATCCGAATATGAAGTTAATGATTGATACGTAAGTGAGATTATTCTAAATATTTGTGTGTATTTATATATTTAATTATTTCTGTGACATTGTTCTAAATATATATTTTTATTTTGTTAGACCGATACAAGTATTCCGGTGTCAAAGAGAAGCTCGAGTACGACGGTTTAAATTAAACAACATTAATTGGATCAAAGTGCAGGTATATTAATTTCCACTATTTTGCTTATAATATTTATGCTATTTGATAAAATAATACAACTATATATTCTTATTTGTTTTTCTATGTAGTGTCCTCAACAGCAAAACGGTATAGATTGCAGATACTTCGTTATGCGGTTTATCAAAGAAATCCTTCAACTGAATCAAATAGAGATTTCAGTCACGGTATGGATTTATAACTTAGGATTTATTTTATTATTTCTCGGATATTTCATATAATTTTTTACTTTTAACTAAATCATGCATATTATATTTTGTTATGTAGTACTTCGATGAATACAAATGTGCATATTACACGAAACTTCAGTTGGAAGAAATCAAAGAGGAATTGTGTCAATATTTTATTGAGCAGAGAATCATATAAGGTATGCATATATTATTATGTAAAAAGTGTTATGAATACGTTACATGTGTACATGGAATACCATATTGACCGTGTTATTATGTTCAAACCTCGCAGGACCAGGACCTTAATACATAATTGACCGTGTTTCTTTCATACATTAGGACTGGTTTAGTTGTTGTTAGGGTTGATTTTGTAAGACTGATTTTGAGTTACAATGTTGATAACAATGGTTTTTATATATTTTGAGGTACAAAAATGGTGTATATATATTTTGGATTACAATGGTATACAATGTATTACCGCGGTTTATGAATTACAGGTTATGGCAACTGGTTTATATAAATAATATGCTGCAAACAATGCAGGTATATGAATTATATAAATTATACCTCTAAAAAAAACACCCTATGAAAGCGCTTTTTCACAAAAAACGTTGTCTAAGGTAAACATATGACAACGCTTTTCCAGGCAAAAGCGCTGCTAAAAGACCACCTATGAAAGCGCTTTTCCAGAAAAAAGCGTTGCTAAAAGCCTACCTGAGACATCGCTTTTTTAGAAAAAAGCGCTGCTAAAAGAAAACTTATGAGAGCGCTTTTCCAGAAAAAAGCGCTGCCTTAGGTAGACCTATGAAAGCGCTTCTTCATAAAAAAACGCTGCCAAAAGCCTACTTAAGAGAGCGCTTTTTAGAAAAAGTGATGTATTAGGTAGACCTACGAAAGCGCTTTTCATTAAACAAAAAGCGCTGCTAAAACCTATAGCAGCGCCACCTTGGAAAGCGCTTTTAAAGGAAAAAAAAACGCTTTCGTAACTTATTTTTGGCGTAGTGTTATGAGGTAGTCTCGTCGCTGTGACATAGAGTTTTTTGGTGGATGGGGTGGTAGGTAGTTATTCATCAGGAT